TTTATAAATCCTTGTATAAGGTTAAATTCATGTTTGAGGGATGTGAATGATGGATTTGGGTTACACAAAACATGGTGGATAAGTTTGGGACTTGTATAGACTTGAATAAAATAGAGTAGGAAGGAAAGAAAAATGAAAATTTAGGGTTCTTCTTGAGTAAACTTTCGAGCCGAGAGAGTTACATGGCCTCCCACATGAGTGTGTCCTTGTCCGTGTAATGAAGAAATGTGTTTTCTTTAAGTCGGAGAGTGACACGGCCTCCTACACGAGTGTGTCCTTTCCTGTGTAATGAAGAAATGTGTTTTTCTTTAAGTCAAAGAGTTACATGACCTCCCACACGGGTGTGTCCTTACCCGTGTAATGAAGAAATATGTTTTTCCGTAAGTTAGAGAGTTACACGACCTCTCACGAAGTGTTTCCTTGCCCGTGTAATGAAGAAATGTATTTTTCTTCAAGTTAGAGAGTTACACGGCCTCTCACATAGGTGTGTCCTTGCCCGTGTAATAAAGAAATGTATTTTTCTTCAAGTCGGAGAGTTACACGGCCTCTCACATAGGTGTGTCCTTGCCCGTGTAATAAAGAAATGTATTTTTCTTCAAGTCAAAGAGTTACATGACCTCCCACATGGGTGTGTCCTTGACCATGTAATGAAGAAATATGTTTTTCTTTAGTTAGACGATTACACGACCTCCCACACGGGCGTGTCTTTGCCCGTGTAATTCACTCGGTCACTCGAAATTCACCACTTTTACTTCATACTTACTTGGTTTTCGTTCATTTTCATCAAGATAACGTAATTAAGGGTCAAGTAGGCTCAAATAGATATAAAATAAAAATAGAAAAATAGACCTTAAAATGAGTGAAAATGGGTTCAAATGCTAATAATTATTCAAGTCATAATGGAACAAATTAATGATTAGAATTATGATAGGAAACAAAAGGAAAGTATCCACATACACAATTAGACCCACGACTAAATCAATACCATTCATCAATTTTTAATTCTAACAAAGGAAAACATGATGATAAGGGGTATGAGTGCCCGAAACCACTGTGTGGGTTGGACCTATGAAAATATATGAAGTTAAATCCTATATGGGTTGGATATGTTTAATATGGTATTGTAATCGTGGTGTCACGTGCATCAATAGGAAAGAAATGGGAACATAATCAATTAAGCGAGAATTGAGTTGTATGAATAGGCTTGATAACCTAATGAATAAAAAGGGGTTAGCGATCCGATTGTGTGGGTACTCTAAGCTCGTGTGCCTACACTTGTTAGGCGATGTTCCGGTTAGCGATGGCTACAATGAGAGATAATTTTGTTGCTAGCATTTAGTGATTTGGTAATCACCTATAGAATAGATCGCTAATACTCGGGGTATCCAAAATTAAAAATTGATGAGAATGATGGGAAGTCGGAAAAGCATTGCATATCACGTATATCACCCTCACTTATTGATCTTCGACTTACCTCATTGTTATTTGCATGTTATGATAGGTAGCGGTCACTATAGTACCAATAAGGACGCCGTCGGATCCTCCAAAAGGGCTTAGGGGTGACATAAACTTTAGGAGATTTTGTTTTGTTTGTAAATTTTATGATTGGGGTGTCGATGAACATTTTGAGGGTATTGTAATTAAATTTTATAATTTCTTCCATCGTATTGTTAATATTATGTAAATTGTCTTGGATGCGTTTCATTGTATGATAAGTCCTTAATTTATGAGCACGTATGTGTTTAAGGTTAATTCAAAAATTGGTCATGTCGGCATGACGTGCCTTGCCTAGTTACTCTTATTTAGGTAATAAAGAGTCAACCGAGGTGGGGGTGTTACGGGGATATTAATTCGAGTCGTTATGAAGCTGAATCATGTCTTACATATGATGTCTATAGAGAATCTTATTTTCTTTTAGGTGATCTAAAATTATAACGTTTAAGTATTCATTACCTTCATCGAATCAAAATGGCTTAATATTTTTACTAGTTTGTCACATGACTTTTAAATCTCTCAAATGCTTTGTACTTGTGTCTTATAACCAAAACATTATCTACTATCATTAAAGGTTATGTGATAAGTATGTTCTCCTCTTGCTTGGGTGAACATAGGCCTATATATATCTCTATGTGTAAGGCCTTATTAGTAGCTTTTTCTTCTTTTCCACTAATAGGGGATTCATGTCTCTTTGTCAAGTAAACAAGATCCCTTAGACATCATCAAATGATTCTAGATATCCATTTATAAGTAGATTAGATATGAGATTCTCGTTTATATGGCTAAGTTGACGTTGTCTGTAAATTTATATTATTTAGATTATTTAAGTTTTTTAGTATTTATGTTATATATATATGTGAGTTATGTTCAAAACATATAGTTATTATCAAGATATTTCCATGAAAATCATCTTTAAAAATAACCATTATTCTTAAAAATGAAATATTTGTTCAAAACAAGAGATGAAAATAACATTTTTAGTCTTTACTAATAATGATGATTGAGTCTTAGCACATTCCTACATAGTAGTGCTAGCTTATAAATACCTACATCTAATGGTCTAACTCTTAATCCATTGTAATCATGTAGGTCATCTCCCTCAAGCTATTTTTTTCTTTTCTAAGCTCTTATACTTTTAAAAAATGTAAGCACCACATCTAGTATTATATACTCGTGAGGTAGAATTAAAAATAAAAGAATTAGCTTTAATAACATAAATAGCTACGGTGGTGGTAGAATTCTTCTTTTGTACCACTTTCTAAGTACTTTTTATAGTTGCACTTTTAATGTCATTTCTTATTGCAATGAAACCAAAGCTTGCATCATTTGGGGAATTTTGAGCCTCGAGCTTTTTCACTCCTCTAAGTAGGCGCGATTATAATCTTCTTCTTCTTGGACTTTTTCTTACCCTTTATCGTGCCCTTTCCCTTGTTAATGAGAAGTACATAACTCTTATTCTTCTTATTAATTTTAGGTCGGACTTCCTTTAGCATGGACAATAACTCTCCAAGATTCTTTTTCATGTGCATCATGTTGAAGTTCATGATGAACTGTTCAATGCTATTGGGTAACAATTACAATGCTAAGTCAATGGATAATTCAACACCCATTCCAACTTCAAGCTCGACCGGTTTGTTGATATAGCCTATCACTTGAGTGACATGCTTTTTGATATTGGATTCTTCATCCATTACGGCTCTAAAGAGCTTTTTCATTATCTCATAATGCTCATATCTAGTATTCATCTTAAATAAGCTTTTAAGCTTCACTATTATATCAAAGGCATGTGTGCTTTTATGTTGAAGTTATGCTCCAACGTCATAGTAGGAAGCATGATGCTACGAGCGATGATCACATCATCTCTATGTTTGATCCACGCTGTAAGCATGCGTTTGTTGGGTTTTTAAAAATCACTTTCATTAGTTGAAAAATGAATATTAGGGTGTTGATGATGTGAGGATATTCAAGATTAGTTAGGAAAACTAATTCGATATGTCAAGCATTCTTGCGTTTGATAAGTTAAGAAGTCTTGAATCTTTGAAAATATCCAAAGATATTAGATTGCTTACAAAATGGGTTTGTACATATGAAGATCCCATATAATTTGATTTTTTTATTGAGACCTTAAGTTTTTTTTTGTCCAATTTAAGAGTTCTATTTTTATGGTGTTGTTATTTCGGACTCTAATATACCACGTAAGCATATATGACAAACTATAGCAAACTCTAGTTGATGATAGCTTGCCACATGTCATGGTGGGTCCAAATTAGATAATTAAATTAATGATGTAGGAAACTATCATTGGCTTAAGCTTGCCACGTATGCTTACATAACACATTAGAGTCCGAAACAACAATTACATAAAATTAGAAATTGGACGAAAAAAACTTAGGATCTCAATAAAAAAATTCAAATTATACGAGATCTCGATATGTACAAAACCTCTTATAAAATTAAAAATATGATTCCGATTTAAAATAAGGAGAATTTGAGATGTAAAGATATTCATTTGTTTTTTCTTTTTTACCTTAAATACCCCATCTTTTATATTATATTGAATAGTAAATCCTTATTTAAAATAAATAATAACATAGATACCTTACATAACTAGTTTATATTTATTTGGTAGGAAATAAACTTGGAAAAATAATACATATTTGAATGACTTTAATTTAATATTAAAATAATTAATATTATATGTGTGTTATGTAATTCATTAGTAGATATATTATTTTATTTTGTAGTCATAATTTTATAAAGTTATATTTATTATTGAATTCATTTTAATTATTTTGTTTTAAACACTAATAAAACACTTTTTAATTAAAAAAATATTTTATGATCAAATTAAATACCATAATTTTGAAGGATAAAATAATAAATTCATTTATATTCGTAATAAATTTCCAATAATGAATCAAACATAATATTTCAACCCAAAAGAATTGATTTGAATGTAAAGAGTTTTAGTTACTTAAGTAAGTGATTTTAGTTCGAATCTTTATATATGCATAACACTTTTTCGATAGATTGTGTTCGTTTTGTAAGTTCGATCAAATAATAAAGTATTAGTTTGGATATTTGAACTCAAATATCATTAGAAATTTTTTTTTAAAAAAACGTAATATTTCTTATTAAAACGATTACATTTAAACAATCTCACTTCCCCAGTACATCTAAAAATGCACGCATACTAAAGTTTATTTATTAAACACCTGTTTGCTTACCATTTTATTTAAAACGAAGCAGTTAAAAGTAGGAGCTTTGGTATATTTTGTAGAAAGATTCCCAAAGGGCAAGAGTTTGTTTTGTAGCAGTTAGAAATTAAGACTGCCCGCCAAATATGATAAGAAAGGCATTATTATTATTATTACTATTATTATTATTATGATTGATGGTGTCTTTGTTTCAGCTGCGGATAAAGCAAACGAAGACGACTCTCTGTCTATAAGCTTTGTTTAATTAGTAGTGAAAGGGAAGCCCGCAGCCAGCACTGCAAGTAAATGGCTACCAGTATCTCTCTGCTTAACGTCCCATCGTCCTCAATTTCAGTTCATAAGCTTCACATCCGACCCATCGTCACCTTATCTTCATTTTGTGCCATACAAAATGGTCAATACTTCACTATTAGTTCTTCTCTACCTTGATGTACAAAATAATTAGTATCTATCTTCTCTATGTTTATCTTTATGTAAAACTCATGGTGAGATCTTTCTTTTTCACTCATTTTGTTTTGTAAAGGAGGAAAACGTAAATTTGGTAGCATTCTAGCGTGTGCTTCTTCAAATGGGAGAGAGCCGGAGTCAGTAGACGAGAGCGTGAAGAAAGTAGAGAAGATTCTTGAGCAGAAACGACGGGTTGAATTGTCTGCCAGGATCGCCTCTGGAGAGTTCACCGTGCAGCAATCTGGGTCTGGTCTTCTTTTTTTTTTTTTTTTTTTTTTTTCCCTCTAGCAGCTGGGTGGGTCAATTAATTTGTTAATATTGACTGGTATTTGCTTCTCTTTAATTTCTTATTCCAACTAGTTTTCCATCTGTACTGAGGAATGGCTTGTCAAAATTGGGAATTTCAAATGAGATTCTGGACTTTCTGTTCAAATGGGTCGACTTCGATAAAGATTATCCAAAGATTCCAGAGGCAAAAGGAAAATTAGGCGCCATCAGGAGTGAGCCCTTCTTCATTCCCTTGTATGAGCTTTACCTCACATATGGTGGCATTTTTAGGCTGAATTTTGGACCCAAGGTTTCTTTCTTCTTGTTCATATCAAATTTCTTAAATCAATTGTAGCTGATTACTTAGAGGGCATATATATATATATATATATACACACACATACACATACATACATACATATGTATGTATGTATGTATGTATGTCATATCATATCAGTCATGGGTTTTGGTCAATCATTTATTTGTTTGCAGTCCTTTCTGATTGTTTCCGACCCTTCCCTTGCCAAACATATACTGAGGGACAATTCAAAAGCGTATTCTAAGGTAAATTAATGTCTATCTGTTCATTTACTTTTTCCATCCTTCTTTTAAAAGTTGATATGCAAGCATTTTCACTTACATTCATTTTACTTGCTATGCAGGGTATCCTAGCAGAAATTCTAGAATTTGTCATGGGGAAAGGACTCATCCCAGCTGATGGGGAAATATGGCGTGTCCGACGACGTGCTATAGTACCCTCATTGCATCAGAAGGTATTAGAACTAGTTCAAAGGTTCAATATTAATGCTTTGGTGCTTTGATATTGTTGGTCTATATTTATGATAATAAGACTCTGAATGTATTAGCATAGGAAAGGCATGTAAATAAAGTTTCTCCATTTATTGTCAAAGAATACCAAAGCAAATATTGAGCTGCTGACATGATGCTTATGCTTTATTAAGCTAAGGGTTAAATGAGAAAAAAAAATTAATAAAAACCAAAAAAGTACCTTGGCACCATGCCTTTATTCACAAGGCATGTGCCTAGCAAGATCTCTGAGAAAATGTAGATCAGACGCTACCTGGTCCATCGAGCTGCCTCACCTTGGGTGAACCTCAAAATTTCTTTCTAGACAGTCTTAAATTAGTTCCTTTGTCATAGATTTCATACCCTTACTTTCATTTGTAGTATGTAGCAGCCATGATTAGCTTATTTGGACAAGCAACAGACAGGCTTTGCAAAAAGCTAGATGCAGCTGCTTTTGATGGCGAAGATGTAGAGATGGAGTCCCTTTTCTCCCGTTTAACGCTGGATATCATTGGCAAGGCAGTGTTTAATTATGATTTTGATTCTCTAACAAATGATACTGGAATAGTTGAGGTAATTTCTTTGCTTTCTATCTTATCTTTATTTTCTCAAATGTTATTGTTTATGTTTCACTGATGTGCATTTCATTCCATGGAGTTGCTTCATAATACTGCTTAACACATTTACTTTCCTCTATTTTGGCTTTTGCAGGCAGTTTACACAGTTTTGAGAGAAGCAGAAGATCGAAGTGTTTCACCAATTCCAATCTGGGAGATCCCAATTTGGAAAGACATTTCACCACGGCAGAAGAAAGTAGCAGCAGCACTCAAACTGGTCAATGATACACTTGATAATCTGATTGCTATTTGCAAGGTGTAGTAGTCAATTATTTGAGCAGCTTTGTGCTTTATTATACAAGCGGGTGTGTGTATTATTATGTGAATGTAACTGTGATGTAAAATATCCATGGATATGATAGCAGTTAAGAACCTTTTTGTGCGTGATCTAATTTTATTTCTGCTGGTGCATGATGCTTATTTTGGAGCAACATAAACATGGAAAAATAGAATGAAAAGCACAGGGCTGTTCAGTCAGCACTTTTTCGTAATTAACAGGCTACTGCCATAGGAAATATTTAGTTTGGAAGATAGTTATTGACTACATGTTTCGTGCTCACTTGACTCTATGGGGTGTGTAAACATTAATTCTATGAGCGTGCTTATGGATCTGTATGTGATGTTGATATTGCATTATTGGTTCCTCATTACTGGAAGCTGTAAACATGCTTTGCTAGTACTAAATTGTGTCTACTTTGACATATCTTTGAGTATTAAGATCTTTCTAGTGGATGTACCTAGATCAAGCTATGAATTGGAATTCCTCACTCACCAATTGGATTAACCTATCTTGGCTCGTATCTTAGCAAGCAGTTTATCAGTTTTGTTGTACCACAAATTTGATACACATCCTAAACTTGATTGGTCCTTGTTCCTTTTTATCTCTACTTCATGTTCTTATGTGTGCATCTGCAGAGGATGGTTGATGAAGAAGAGCTACAGTTTCATGAGGAATACATGAATGAAAAAGACCCCAGTATTCTCCACTTCCTTCTGGCATCAGGGGATGATGTATGTAATTTGTTAATTATTTGTTTGCTGATAGCTTAAATGAATGCAAATTTTCTTACTGCCATTCACAGGTCTCTAGCAAACAACTCCGCGATGACTTGATGACAATGCTTATAGCTGGCCATGAAACAACTGCTGCAGTTTTAACATGGACCTTTTATCTTTTATCACAGGTAACGCTAAGTCAAGGTTCAGTGATGTAGAAACCGAGTTTGCACTTTAATGCTGTTTCATATGAACATTCTTCTTTCTTTGCTTGCGTGTTTCTCTTGGCACCTCTTTTCATGAACATACAAAATAAAAGAGGATGTGATTTCATCGTGTTGCTCAATTTCTTTACTGCCTTTTCATTTCTTTGGAATTTTTACTGTTACGTTCATGATTCATGTTTTGGGTGAGGCTTGGTTGTTGCTGTTGTTGTTCATGATTCTAAAGTTTTTTGTGCACATTGCCAATATATTAATGCATTATTAGGAAAAAAAAATTGGTACGTTGAGCAGAAAAGTTAATACATTACCAATATCTTCATTACCTTCTTGAATTCTTCTAGTTTTTTTAAAAAAATTTCTCTTTAGGAAAATATATTTTTAGCATTGAGCAAAAAAATTGACTCATTAAACTAGGATCTGATGCATGAACTGGTAAGCATCCATACAAGCTCAAAATACAGGATGATTTGTAATGATTTTCTTTTTGATTGCTGCAGGAGCCAAGTGTTTTGTCCAAACTCCAAAACGAGGTATCATGGAGTTTTATGCATTGTGCTTTGAATCTTACAATCCTATGATTATTATCTTAACTATTTCTCTTTGCAATCTCTAGGTTGATTGTGTTCTAGGGGATCAATTTCCAACCATAGAAGACGTGAAGAAACTAAAGTACACAGCCCGAGTAATTAATGAAGTAAGAAGACTAACTTTGTTCTTTTCATTATTTCTTTCTAGTGAATCTTTTGTATCATTGCATTATGGCTTGAAGTCTTATTCCCAATCTCTTTGCAGTCATTGAGGCTCTATCCACAACCACCTGTCTTAATCCGTCGCTCTCTTAATGGTGACATGCTCGGAAAGTACCCCATAGAAAGGTACTCACAATAATGCAATGTCAACTCTGATTTTTCTAGTTAGTGGATATGCATTTTGCTATCACCTTCTCATCTATAGCATCTCATATTTCATTGACATTTAGGCACAACTAAAAGAGAGAGTAGATTGTGGTATTTAATAACATACATGCTTATATGCCTTATAAATCCCAAAAAATAGCTACTATTAAGAGTTTCAAAAGTAGTGTTGTAGGTTTTGTTGGATTCAAATCAAATTCTTGTGAGGATGGGTTAGATATTTTCTACTACGAAAACTTATGAAATATATTGAAGAGGGATTTAAATTATAGAAAGCAAATTGTGTTCTTTTTTATATTATTTTTTCATTTTCTAGGATATGAAACAAACTTTATTGAACTTTTAGAAACTTTTTCTTCACCCTATAGAATAGCATGAAGTTTGTTGGTCTAAATTTTTGTTTTCCATTGTTAGTTTAAATTTTATTTTCTATTCCGTACTGAAGTAATTCATGTTAATGGAACAATAAACATAAAGACATACCTTCATGAAGCCGTAATCAAATTCCCAGAACCTTCACGTTGAATCAGGTTCAGTTGCTCTGCCCAATTTCCATGTACCTTTCTATGTTTTTATATCCATTGTCTAAGTGAAATCACTCACGTTCAATTGCTTTCTACAATCTCCATGTATCTATATCGTTATACCCATTATCGAATTGAAATCACTATGACGAAATCACCAGCTTTTCCACATCCAAAGCACACTAGAGAATATGGGAAAGTAAGAGGATCTTTATTCTTTTTCTCCCTGCCCACACATTGGTTTTACAGTTATTTTTAGAAATAAATTATAATTTAATCCCTTGGTTCTAAAAAGCATAAGTAGTCTTTTGACTAAAATTGACTATTAATTCTTTCGAAGTTTCTAAATTTCTCTTTTTAAATTTTTTTTTCTTTTTGTAACTGGTGAGATTTGATTATAAATGAAGGATATTTTAGGAAAAGAGCAGTTTAATTGTCTTGAAAACCAAGAAAGGAACTAAATTACAATCAAATATTAAAACATGCGGACTCAATATTTGGTTTTTCAGATTACAGGGACTAACTAATTATTTTACTAAACACAGCCACAAATTGATCAAATAATAATTTACTCCTTTAATAACTTTGCCTTCTTATTTCATTGAAGAGGTTTGAAGGAGTTGTAAATGACCACCACCATCTTCTTCTTCTTCTTCTTCTTATTATTATTTAAGAACTTGGCAATGGTGGTTTGATTTCCACTTGAGTTAATTTTCATTACTTGTTTGATGGTTTATTGGGATATTTTGCTCCTAAACTATTATGGTTGTGCCAAAATAAGGCATGAATTATCAATTTAGTTTATTTTATACTCAATACTGTTATATTTTAGACAAATTATGTCCTTCTATTTGATTGAACTATTAAGAATGAAGGTCAAATATTGATCTTTAGCGAAGAAACTTGTGAAATAACATTGTTTTACATGACCTGAATTTTTTTTTAACACATGAAACTATTTTTGGAAAAAATCTATTAGAAAAATGATAAAAAATGACTGATGGATCGTTCTTTCTAATTGAAAATAATATACCCCAAAAGTTGTTTTATTGATTATGAAAGATAAATAAATTAGATACTTAAAACATAAATATTATTTAAATAATACTTGAAAAGAAGTAAAAAAAAAAGTTAAAAAAAAAAAGAGCAAATCTTGAAACTCAAAATATATATTGTAGAATAAATGCATCTTCTCCTTGAATAGGAAATAAGTGTAATTTTTGCAAGGAATCTCGATACCTAATTCAAACACTATTATATGTGTGCATTTTATCACATAATAAAAACTCAATTATATGTTTACATTTTATCATAGAATAAGGATTAAAATATCAATGCATCACATTAGGGATTATGATAAAATTCTTAATGCATCTTCATCCTTTACAAAAACCCCTAAAACTCTAGTACTAAAAGTTTTAATCTAAACTTTAGCTACGTGTCAAGCTTTCATACCCACCAATTTCAATCCTCCTTTTGCTACATGTCAACTTTTCGATCCAACTCAATCATATTCATTGTATGGAAAAAATACTTTCCACCACGGGCAAGCCACTAACCATTCATCATGCACCCAAGGCCTTTGGTGGACATCTCTGTCGTTTAATTCTCATTACTTGGAGGCTAAATCATCTTTTACTTAAAAGACTTATCCTAGATGGCCCTAGGTGTAAAAAAGGACCCTCCTCCCTACAAAAGTTAATTGATTCATTCACTCAATGAATAAGTACTACTACTCTCTCTCTCTTTCTTCCTAATTCCACATGTCATCACTCTAGTTTGATCATCAAAGGGTTCCCACCTTGTATCTTTGAATATTCTTTTCCTTGTCCCTCGCTGGAAAACTGATCCATTTGCTGTTCAAATAGATCCTAATTGAGGCCTTTTCAATCATCTTTAATACAACCCCTACGGACTACCACGTTCCCTTAGGTATTTGATCACGTTAGATTGGCATCATATGTTGAAGTTGAACATAAAGTCTAATGCAAACCTGATTACAAGCATAGGTGAGTCCTCAAGTCACAATTTCTCTATCGCCACTTAATGCGCAAACTGTTCAAGTAAATACAAATTTAGATCATTGATTAACAGCATTCAAAGACATATCCAACAAGAGATGGGGCATGATCCTCCGACCTCCAAGCAACGTGCTTGTGACAAAAGCCTCGTTTGAAAATCTTGTTGACCAAGTTTCTGAGATGGCAGGTCTCTTGAAAATGAAACATTTTGCTTATACGATTCTAGATCTGAACGAGGTCCCTCCAGCTGCAAGCCCAAAAGTACTTAGGGAAGATGACAGAGAATATCAAAAGATGGTAAAGTATTCAGACACTGAAGCCAATGCTAATGACCTATTTGTGAGGATGACAAGAATGATGAATGAGAAGATCAATGCAACTTTTATGTCCATGGTGAAAGGGTACAACATTACTTGACATTATGGCTGATTCCCTCCTCTAGAATCATGTAAGGGTTTCTCAAACTCGATGGCACGTCTATGTAGTATTTCAAGTTGGTTATGAAGATGCATGAGATAAATTCCTTCAAGGAAGCCATGCAAACATGTTTCTAAAAACTAAAGCCCCCGGTACCATTAGTTATTTTCAAAATTTTGCGTTTATTTATATGATTCACTTTCAGCACTTGGGCGTGCATGCTTGAGGGCTTACACACAAGGATGGACACCACCTCAATTCAAAAGCCTAGACTAATGGGTTATAGGTCTATCTTATATGTAAGCACCTCATTTTTTTTCTTTTTTTTTTTTTCAATATGGAATAGTTACCACTTACATAGGTATCCAACAAATCTTTTCCTTACATTTGAGTCTAGTTCATTTGATCACAACTCTCCCTCAACCAAAATTATTTTTAACAATCTCTGAGTGCGACAGTCACTACTGAGTGCTGTAGTGCCTTTAAGAGTTCACCACTGTTACAAGAGCCTGCTCATCCGCTCTTAACCTAGGAGTTGCATCTTACTTCTCCATGAGCCATCCATTCTTTATCTAAGAGTCCAACTAACTCCACTTTTTATCATAGGGGCAACAACTATGAAAGTCAATTCACACTATCTTCATATTCATTCTAGCCAATATTGTACCATTGGCTACACAAACATCTGTCGCATCCACTTATACTAACTAAACCATTGGCCCCGATACCATTTGTTAGGGAGAGATTGGTACTAAGGAGTCAGTTGAGCCTGCACGCATGAGGACTTACACATAAGGATGGACACCATCTTAACCCAAAAGCTTAGACTAATGTGTTATGGATTCATGCTATATATAAGCACCTCATTTTTTTTTTTTATTTAATTGTAAGATAGTTACCACTCACACGTGTAACCAACACATGCCTATGAGCTTTTCAACTTCCCTAAAAGCCATTCTATTAGTGGAGTGCTACCACCCTTTTAGGTCCATGATCTTTGTACTTTATGAACTCATCATAATTCTCGCTTTCCTGTGTGGATAGCAAAGATAGTAGTGACAAATACACTTCCATGTTTGACATTGTTCTAGTTTAGGCTTAGCTATAGATTATTATACCATTTTTATTTAATCTTTTTTGTACTAGAATTACAAACTTCAACCATGCTTGCATGCTTTGTGCCATTCGAGCATCTTTTTCCCTTCATTCATTGGAGGCCTAATAAGCTTTGGGCTACATAATGGGAAGTACCCCTTCCTCATCCACCTGACCCACTTCTTCTGGGTTTTGGACTTGAGACCTCCAAATGAAACCCAAATATTAACCGCTGAGGTGTCCCATTGGAAGATTCAAGCTTAATTGTTAAGCTCAAGGTTAAGAAATAACTGTGCTTATAATAAATCATGTAGCCCAATATTCTTCATAGCTAACTAATTAATGAAAGGTATTAAGTTATGTTCCCAATGGATTATCAATGTTAAAACTTCAAATCCACAATGTTTATTTTTTATCAAAAAATATTCTTACACAGAAGAGTCTACTTTTCCTTTGCAAGGAATGACTAGTAGTTTCATTGTCTATGTGATAGAGTCCATTGGATAACTGGCCCTGCTGCTTTCGTATTCTTCATCTTGCAATTTTATCAACATGTTGCTCATCTTTGTTTATGCCCCTTCCCCTTCAATCACTGAAAATTTTCACAGCCAATGATGCCTCCACTATTCTGTTTCCAAATTACATATTCCACATAGGGAGTTTGGCTATGGCATCTAGGTCTCTTTTAGTGTTTAATTCAACCAAGACAATTATAACATTGAATGTTGGATTAATACCACTTTTTTCCTCGTACTTAACTGACATTGTGAGACTTGAACATGTCAGGTCAATCCAGAGTATCTAGCTGTCTATTTGCAATGGATGTGGTAGTAACATAAGATGCCATGAAACCTGTCACCTAAAATTCAGTTTAAACTAAAACTAAAAAATTCACTATCGCTCATCCTAGTGTAGCATAGGAATGAAGCCTAGGGTCAATTCAACCCAAGTTTTAGGTTTAGATAGTTTACTAGTCAATTGCTCGCGCTACGCTGTGAGTCCGGTTGAACAAAATCATTTTAAAATTTTAAAATTTTTTAATTATAATTTCATATTTAATTAATTTTTTAATATTTTTTATAATTTTTTTTGCTTAAAAAACATAAATAATTCTTCTTTATGAATTGATTTTAACTAAAATATTAATTAAGAATTAAAAAACTTAAAAAATATATTTTTTTATAATATTATATTAAAAAAATAAAGTAATAATTAATAAATCGATTTTTATAAAAACTAATAAATAGAAAAAAATTCTTAATTAATGATGAATAGAAGATTAATTTTTGAAATTATCCACGCAATGCAACAGGTAGATAAAACAAAATCATTTTAAAATTTTATAATTTTTTATTTAATTATTACTATTTTTTTGTTTTCCATATAATTTCGTTTAAAAGAAATGATTTATTTTTCTTTGTTTAGGGATTCCTAAATAAAAACTTGTTATATATAATTAAACCTAAAATATTAATTAAGAATTTTAAAATAAATACTTTAAAAATATATATTTCTTATAAAAACATATCCAAAAAATAAATTTACAATTAATGTATAGCCTTGCATAAAAATTAACCAAAAAAAAAAAAAAAATTCTTATTTAATGTTGATGAGAATATTATTTTTTTAAATAACATATATTTGATCTATACATATTATATAATCATCGGTTTGTATAAAAAAAAATAACAATTGATTTTTTAAAATTATAACACCTAATCAAACAAAAAAAGAACATAAATTGATAGGAAAACTCGAAGAAAAAACCAAAGAAAAAAAAAGAAGCATGTAGTGCATCAGCTAGGGATTAAAATTTTTATTTTAAAGTTTCAAGGATCAAAACAAAAAAATTTGAAAATTACAAAAAAAAACCTAAGAAAAAAAAAACTAAGTGAAAATTAAAAAAAAAAAAGAAAAAACCTAAGAGCGAATAGTACGTTTTGAGGGTAAAAAAAAACAAGAGAGTGAATAGTATATGGTGAAGGTAAAGAAAAAAAAAAAAAAGGGAGTGAATGGTACATTGTAAGGGGAGAACAAGTATTGTTATAAAAACAAAAACTTTAAAAATATATTGTTTTATAAGAATATATCGAAAAAAATAAAGTGATAATCAACGTATGGACTTGCATAAAAATTAACCGAGTGAAAAAATAAAATTTTATTTTTATTTAGTGTTTATGAGAAGATTTTTTTTTTAAAGTATATACATATGATCTATATATATTATATAATTATCGGTTTATGTGAAAAAGGCAATGATTGATTTTTAAAAATTTTAACATCCTATTAAATAAAAAAACATAAATTGATGGAAAAAAGTAAATAAAAAAAAAGGAAAAAGCATGTAATGCATCGGATCGGGATAAAATTTTTTATTTTAAAATTTTAGGGATCAAAATGAAAATAATTTGAAAATGACAAAAAAAATGTAAGGAAAAAAAAACTAAGAGTGAAAATTAAAAAAAAAATGAAAACAAAATAATTTGAAATTTTTTTTTAAAAAAGTAAGAATGAATAGTACAATGTGAGGGGTGATTTTTGAAGTATATACATTTGATCTATATATATTATATGATCATTAGCTTGTATGAAAAAAGGAACAATCGATTTTTAAAAATTTTAACACTCAATGAAATAAAAAAAAAAACATAATTTGATAAAAAAAGCGCAAAAAAAACCAAAGAAAAAAAGAAAAGACATATAGTGCATCAGCTAGTGATTAAAATTTTTATTTTAAAATTTTAGGGATTAAAATGAAATAATTTTAAAATTAAAAAAAAAACGTAAAAAAAAAAATTGAGTGAAAATTACAAAAAAAAGAAAAAAGTAAAAAAGAAAAAAAAACTAAGATTGAGCAAGTATAGTGTGAAAATAAATAACAATTGATTTTTAAAAATTTTAACACTCAATTAAATAAAAAAAAGAACATAAATTGATGAAAAAAGTAAAAAAAAAAAACGAAAGAAAAAAAAGACATATAGGGCATCGATTAGGGATTAAAATTTTTATTTTAAAATTTTAGTGATTAAAAGAAACGAAATATTGTAAAAAAAAAAACTAAGAAAAAAAGAAAAAAATAAAAGTGAATTTAAAAAAAAAGGAAAAAAAAAACTAAGATTGAGTAGTATAGTGTGAAAAAAATAACAATCGATTTTTAAAAATTTTAATACTCAATTAAATAAAAAAAAACTAAAGAAAAAAAGAAAAGACATAGTGCATCGACTAGGGATTAAAATTTAAAAATTTTAAGGGATTAAAATAAAATAATTTGAAAATTAAAAAAAAACTAAGGAAAAAAGCTAAGAGTGAAATTACCAATATATATATATATATATATATATATATATATATATATATATATATATATATATATATATAAAGAAAAAAAAGCTGAGTGAAAAAAAAAAGATTGAGTAGTATAGTGTGAGGATAAAATAAAGTTTAAAAAAAAAAAAAATACTGTTCAAATGAATTGTGCTATAGTATGGGGAGTTTGTTGTCACGCGTTTTAGTTTATTAGTAATGAATTTGTTATTTGTCTTTCCCAAGTGAATGTCACTTTAGCACGGATATAATCTCTCTTGATATGAGTTACGTGGAAGTTGTAAACTTGCCTTTCTTTATGTTAACCGAAATCATAGCCACTCGCAAAAGAATGTAATTAAATGTCTAGTTTGCTTTTGCCAACTTTTTGTTATGTCAATTGATCAAAATTCCCTAGAAAATATTACTCATATGTTTTAATTTTAATGGTTTAAAGAGGAGAGGTTTTCAACATGTTATGGTGTAGTGGTTTTAGTAATGTAGTGTCCTTGTATCTTGGAACATGCGGGTATCATAACACATTTAGTGTAGTCCTATTTATTGCATTATTAACGTTCTTTTACCGCAATCAACCTTCATTA